ATGTGATTTGGTTATGTATTTATTTATTCATTTAGACAGGGTCTCAGGCTGGCCTTGAACTTGCAGTGATCTTCCTACCTCAGCCTTCTGAGTGCTAATATTACATGCATGCACCACCATGCCAGACTGGTTTTTATTTTTTTATGGTGTAAAAGAATTCATTTCACTTGGTCACTTACCTGTAGAATATTATTAACAATTAATCATCATAAATGTTAAGACTTAAATTTTAGTAATATAACTGGAGAATATAACCAAATTCTTTCAAAAATATTTTATCTATTTTATCCTCGATTCTTCTAAAGCATAAATTATAGGCACTATCATCCAATTTATTACTTAGACATCTGTAATTTTACCTACTTTTTGCAAAGTTCCTAAGGTAAGAATTTTCTTTAGTATCCCTCCACTATTTCTATGCATATTGCCTTAGTTCTTACTCTTCTGCCAGGAGCAAAGAAATTGTTCAATCAGTACTTACTATTCTGACCAACTAGAGAAGTGAGATAAATAAGGCAACTATGAATCCACTAAAAATAATCCCTTGAAAAAGAAACCCAAGAGAAATTTCTTCTAGAATTTTGTGCTATTAATATTTTAAGTGTTCAGATTTAAATAGCCAGTAATTGTGGCCTCTATAAATATGCCCTTTAAAATATGGAACCAAGCCAGTTGTCCAGCAAAAAGAAATTAGTTAAATAATAAACAATTTTGTGCATTTAAATATAAACATTAAACCAAGAAATACATATATCTCATATTTTTATACATGCTGATGAAGGCTAAGATAAAACAAATGTGTGAGCATGTTTGTAGGCTCACACGTATCTTAAACTGATTTGAAATTATTTTTGAGTTGAGGTACAGTTTAAAATTTATTTTTTTTCTTAATGTACCAAGTGTAGCATCATTGACTAAATAGCCTGGATTCCTCCAACTCAAACACTAAATTAAAAATGTTAATTTGGGCTGGGGATTTAGCTCAGTGGTTCCACCACCTGCCTTGCAAGCTCAAGGACCCGAGTTCAATCTCTGGTACCTAAAAATGTTAGTTTTGTCACATATTGTTATCACAGATAATTGAATCTTTCCAAGATTTGACTCTTCCTTTAATAGTATCATGCTAATCTGATCAAGGCACCTTTCTAAAGAGTGTTTTTTATTTTGTAAACAATTTTAGTAGCTATACACCAATCACTCCACTCTCCCTTTATGAAAATTTGTTTATTGATTTACTCAGGTAATTCTTACCTCTTTATTTTTTATTGCAAGATGCTCTCGTGAGTTGTTAAATTGCTCAGTCTGGCTTCAAAGTTGTGACGCTTCTTCCTCCGCTTCCCAAATGTCTGGATTACACAGATGCACCACCATGCCATTCTGAATCTTATTCTTTATAAAAGGCAGTATCATTCATCTCGTCATTAATTTCATGACTTTTTTATGGTTTAAAAAGAAGATATTTGAATAGAATTAAAATTGCATTAAGTATTAATTAATTTGGGGGACTGATAATTTTGTCAAAATGTCTTTCTATTCAGTTTCTCTTGGTATGATCTTCTTAAAGGTTTTTGATCTTCCTACTTTGGAGAAATATCCCATTTCCCCAATTTTTAAAACTGATTATTGCTAATATAAAGGAAAGATACTACTTGATTTTTCATTTATTTGTCTCATATCATGCCACAATATACACTTATTTGTTCTGATCTTTTTAAAAATAGTCTTATTGATTCTTGATTAGCTTTGTTGGAAAAATTTTGTGGTTTCCTTTAATGCTGAGTTAGATACAGAAAAGATAGAGCAAATGCACAAACCCTCTTATAACCAAGTTCAAGTCAGTTTCATGCTCATTCTTTATTTTCACCATTACTAAAGCATGTTTTTAACCTCTAAGGGCAAAAGGAAAGCAATATACAAACACTTAGGTGCTCTTCAGTTCCAACTTTGTCCAGGGTGCATGCCCCACAAACTCCTGCACTGAAAATTCCTGTGGTCAGCAGAGGCCAAGAGCAGCAACTGATACAAGGGGAGCCATGGCTGTTTGAGTCCTATTTGTATCCTGAAAGGTAGGTAGGATCTAAGACAGGATGACATTTTAATCTCACAGGACTAATTTGAAAAATCATAATAGGCCCCTAAAGGTCAGCCTTCTGCACCCCATCTTCCTGACTCTTCAGTAGTAACCAGGACTAAAATGACCTGATCTTGGTGGCCATGCATTCCACACAGTGTCTTCATAAGATAGAAGTGTCCACATAGGTCCTGAACAAGGAAACAGGTAAATTTAGTCAGTGTGCCTGGCTCAATAATTTTGTGACTTTCAAAAGAAATTATTTTTTTATTTCATACATATTTTCTATAAACTGAAAAAACAGCAGGAAAGCAATTAAGAATGTGTAGCCCCAGGAATGACCTAGCAGGTGAAGTTCCCTCATGACCCTTCTCTTTCCCAGCCTTGGTGCTGAGCTTCTTGGCCTATGGCCTATGGCGTATCCTATCTACTACTTATCATTGCATTCACCCTTCCACTCACACATTTCAGTCAGCCTTTGAGAACTGCCGCCATGAAACACCTCCATCACTAACACCACCTCCGCCAAGTGGAGTCATTTCCAAGCATTCAAATTGTATTGAAAGAAACTCAAATACCTCCAGGTACTTTTTTCCCCCTCCTACACTGCCTAACATTCTATAGCACGCATCTGTCTGCATTATGTGTGTTAGTCCCTACCTCCTTTGCTATAATCAAAATTTTGGTCTTTGACTCAGGGTGGCTATACAACACACATTAAAAAAAAAAAAAAACCTTTGAGCTTCATTCTTTAGCCTTGGCTGATGCTGATTAATGAATATCACCTTTTTTCACTGAAAGACGCTATTCTTAAGCAGATTTTTAAATAAGTCAGTTTAAGTTCTGATACTTGAAGCTCAGTGTATGATATTATGCATTTACTCCAATTTGAGAAGGCAGTTTTCTTAATTACTGTAGATATGCAATGTCACTTTAACTTTTTTCAGTTATAAACATAATTCATCATAATTACAGACCTTTAAAAATTTTAAAAATCAAAGGTAATGGGAGTCTGATTATCCAAACATGAACTTTATACTGTACCATCTTTGCATTCATATTGAATAGTATCAATCAGAAAAATACAATTATAACAGCAAAACAATTACTCTACAATGTTATTTTGTTTTAAATTTTAATGATACTAATAATTAATGGAATTGGCATGTTTATTGATTAGTTATACAATCAATAAATCTAATTATCTAAAAATTCCCCTTTATGTATAATTTTTATTTGTACTTTCCTCTTTTACCATGCAATTTTTGTCAGTTCATATAAGCTCATAATACAACAAAATATGTGTTTTTAGTGTTTTCTTTGTTGTTGTTGTTCTTTTTTATTTTGGCACAGGGGATCAAACTCAGGACTTTGCACTTGTGAGGCAGGAGTGTTGTCACTGAGCTAAATTCTTGGCCCTGCTTTTATTGTTTTAAATAGGCATATCTACAGTGTGATACTAGCCTCACGGCTTTCCAAATTTACATAGAATGCTTTTTAATTATGCTTAGCTTAATATTTAATTTTCTTTCATGTCTTTTATCCTTACTAAATTTAGTAAATCCTTTTTGCTTCTAGATATTTAACAAATGTTTCATTTAAAAAAAACATGTTTCGATTGTTTGATTTTCATTTTATTTCCTAAAATTATCTAAAATATATTTTGGCATAAGACATAAAACAAGGAGCTAAACTGAATTTTTCCTGTTATTAACTGCTTCCTCAGACAGCATTTATTGACTACCTTTAGCTTCCCATTGGTTAACATATATCCTTCATTAAAACTATAATGCTATGTATAAAAGGCTCTAATTTTGGGTTACACATTCTGTTTATTTTTAACCTAGTAACAGATTTTTAAATTTAAAAGAAACTATATATATGTTTATATTATATTTTATTTATATCTGACAGCATTAATCTAATCTTAGTCTTTGTACTAGTTGTCTTTATTTTCTCTTTGCTATCATTTTCTGACTTTAGAACAACTGTAGGTGTGTGCTTGTGTGCATCACTGGAATTTTGGCAGGAATTATTTTGAATATATTAATTTATTTTAGAAGACTATTATGTTTAGAATAATCAAGGCAGAAAGTCTTGACTCTTTTGGGCTCAAGTAATAGTCATGATATGATATATCATAGTATATTCTTGGAACATGTGGAAAGAGTTCAGAAATGGGGAAATGCAAACAGGTTGATTAATGTGGTATGTCATTGGTTAGTATGGCCATATGAATACTTTAAGTACCATTGAAAGATCCTATTTTGTTACCATTATCATTATCACTAAAGTTTAGTAAGCATAAAATGTTCACATCATTTTCAAATCAAAGGCTAAAATCAGTCATTGGCTAGGTGCTATATTTTGGGAGTCCCAAGAGATAGAAGACTTCATCAGTATGGCATAGTAAGTCTCAGTGTGTTTTCATTCTCTCAGGCTCTATTCCTTCTGCCTGATGTGTCAAGCATTGTGCTTCTATCCATCATGAATTCTTTCTGACACACCAAGGTCTAGGTTATGTATGATTCCCTGTTGATCTTCATAATCCCTGGCATTTAGTGACTTCTTTAGCCCAAGGTACTTTGTTTATACTTCTCAGATTAGCCCATCTCTTAGAATTATAACTATTTGTGTCTGCCTTTGTACCTCACTTCACTGAACTGTTGAGTGCAAGAATTTAAGTTTTGCATAGTCATAACAATATGAATGCTAAGTACCAAGGGTAGATGTCAATAAGCATTTATTAAATGAATATGTAACTGAATAAGAGAAAATAATTCTACCATACAAATCTTTCTGTAATAAAAAATATTGTTACAAAAATTTCTAAGAAAAACTTTAGACTTTTCAAATATTCCAAGTCTATCTAATAGAACTCAATGAAACATGTAACATTAAAAACTGGTATGCATATGTGTGTGTGTGTGTGTTCACATGTGTTTTGCAGGCAGTAATTTCCTCCTAAGATTTCAAGATTACATTTGTGGTTCCTAACTTTTGTTTCAGTAGAGATGAAAAAATAGTTTTACAAATAATGTTCAGCTTTAGAAAACATCACTCTAAAGCATATAGTGACTTTAAGACCAAGCCGGAAATATCTCTGACAAGCTGGACTTTCCCAGGTGGAAGACTTGTGCGCTAAATGGAAACTGCAGAGGCCACCTGTGAAAAGCAGTTACATGTCAGCAGTTGAGTTTTACCTGTGGACTAGGCTGATAATACTTTACACAGCATTCACTTCATTCAAAACAATCTTGCATGGGAAGGAACCTAATAACCTCATGATTGTGTTGCGTTACCTTCTTAGGTGCATAAAGACAAATTGGGGCTGGGGGTGTTCCCAGAGGTACAGAGCTTGCCTAGCATGCATGATGGCCTGTTATATGCCCAGTGCTAAAAAGTTAAATTATCGTAATCTAGAACACTAAATTAGGCTGCGGTTTAATTATGAACATTTTTTAGAACACAAGAGTATACTGGCCACACCACCCTGACTATTGCATATCATACATATATGTGCACACACAAACTAATGCATTCTCCATATCCACAGCCTTGCCTGTGAACACAGTTCTTGATCCTCAGCTCTCTTTGCCATGCATTGCCATTTGTTTTTCTGTTTTTGTGGTTCTTCACTTCAAGAAAGCTTTAAGTTGTCTCTTTACATTGTAGCCAAACATCATTTCCAATATTTTTAGTCTCTGAGAGCCCATTTCCTTGTTGCTTCCAAGAGTAAATGGAACACTCTCTGGTTCACTCTGGCATCTGTAGGAATTAGACCCTGGAGTGTCCTCTGTAACATTAAGCAGAAGAACAATATTACAGATGGCTGACTCAAGGAAGTCCAGCTCCTTAGAAACAGATTAGATATTGTGTATCAGGCATCACAATCAAGTCAGGACCAAGAACATCACATTAAGTAATGTAGTATTATTTTACGTTCCTACCATTTTGTTTATGACAAAAAAACTGAGGGAGGGATGGGTGATTAAAGGGTTTGTTGACTTATACTTCACTCATTAAACATCCAAGTCTTTAAAATGAGGTTAACAGTTCTTTCTGTGGTCTATTCTTCTTCTCCTAATGTTTCTCATCTGCCTAAGGAGGGGCCTAAAATCCCACCCTTCATTCAAGGCCACTAGAACCAGCTAAGTCAGATGATTAGAATTTGGTCTTCGTGATGCATTCTCTTCACTTTCCTATTCTTTCCAGTCTCATCTCAGTGCCTTGCCGTATTCCAATCTAGCTGCATCTGCATCCTTCTTTTCAGCCCTATTCCTGGGATAAACCTCACTTGGTTCTGAGCTATACTGTCACATTCAGTTTGCTGAAGTTTCACTGAGAAGCTTTGAATGTGGGACATTGGTGTGTAGTTTTCATTACTTATATATAATTCCTTTGATTTTCACATCAGATTAACGCTAGCCTTACAGATTGAGTTCAGAAGAACCCATTCTTCTTTAGTTTCCTAGAAGGGTTTGTGGAGAATAAGTAGCATATTTTGCTTATGTTTTTGGTAGCATTCATCAGTGAATTAATTTGAGTCTAGAATTTTCTTTGTGGAAGTATTTTCACTCAATTTCTTATAGATTGAATTTTAAAAGAATACTGTATTTTCTCAGTAGGTACAGGACTATTCAACATCTGTGTATTTCTTCTAGAATGCACTGTGGAATCTAATCTGAAACAAGAAATTTGTACATTTTCATCAAGGTTGTAAAGTTTATTGGCATATATTTGTTCTTATCAATTCTTTGTCTTTTATTGGAAGAGTTTTCAGTATCACTACTCTCATTCCTAATACTACTCACTATTTTTTCCACTTTTTAAGAAATCTGTCTTGTGACAGGCTTTTCAGTTTATCGATTTTCTCAGGAACAAGTTTTTTATTTTATTGATTTTCTCTATCATTTCCAGTTATCTATTTCATTGTTTTCTCCTCTGATCTTTCTCATTTTATTTTCCTTACTTTGAGTTTCACTTGTTGTTCTTTTTCTAGTTGCTTAAGGGAGAAAATAAGGTTATTAATTTTAAACTTTTCTTCTTTTTAATAAAAGTGTTGTAGCTCTTTAAATGAATACACCTTTCAAATTTTGCTATCTTGAATTTTCAGTTTCATTCTATTCCAACTACTTCCTAATTTCTTTGATTTTTCTTTGATTTATGGCTTGTCTAGAAGTGTATTTAGTTTGCAAATAATTGTAAATTATTTGAAGATACTTCCACTTTTATTTTTATTTATTATATTGATAGTAACTCAATTCACTTACAATCCAAGAGTATACCTTAATGGTTTGAATTCTTTTAAATTTTTTAAAAATTACTTTATGGTCTAGAATGTGTCCTTGAGCACTATGAATCTTGGTCTTTCAACCTCCAGGACAGTGAAAGAATAAATTTCTTTTGTTTAGGCATCCCAAACTTACTTTATAATGGTAGCCCTAGCAAAGTGATACACGAACAAAAGGGCAAATCCATTCATCTTTCAAGTGAAAAGGTCTTTTGAGTAACTGGATAGACAAGTGGCTATACAATCTGAAGCCCAGAGGGATATGGAGGCTGGAGATATAATGCAAAGTCAGTAGCATAAAATGATATTTGGTACAAGGGGAGCACATATTCCCCAGTCTTTATGTTCCTGTGAGGAGGTTCCATCAGTGTTACATTCGTGAATTCCCAGTTTCTTTTGTCACTTTTTCCCAGATATGGAAATCAACAGATTTGCTTTGTCACTTTGAGAGAAAGAACTCCATATTCATAATTTGGTGTTTGTATATTTCAGGGACACCTGCCTTCAGAGAATGTATGTATTCTGATTCTCCCTGTTGTGAATTTTTCATCATCTAGTTTGCACTGGAAGATGGTCATAGCTGTCCAAATATTTCTACATTTGAAAAGGTTAGTCATTGGTCCAGCCTTATTCTCCATTATTATGTTTTAAATAAGTAATAAGGATAGTTTTTCTTACTCTCTTCTCCTTAAGTTCTATCTCTGTGTTGCAACTGATTCAGAACTTAAGAACTGAGTAGGTGAAATCAACTGTCCAGTGACTACTGGTAGAGAAAATAATAGGGTCAAAGAGAAACTTGGGATATTCTGACATTAAGAGAGGTAAAAGAAAACTCATCAAAGGATATTGAAAACTCAAAGGTAGAGGAAAATCATGGGAGTGTGATGGCTGAAAGACAAGTGAAGAAAATATTTTAAGACGAAAAGGAGTCATTTACTTCAAAGCCTGCTAGAATGACTTTAATGAAGGTATATAAAATCTATGGGATGCTCACCTCTCTTTCTGGCAAACCTATGGCTGTGAGTTATTTTTCAAAGGAGAAGAAAATCACTGATTCCAGTTTCCTTCAGTGGGGGCAAAAAAATTAGCACACCCTTCCTTACACACTAAATCACTTAATTAAATATTTCCCTAAACAAGACTGACCAGTCATTCCAATTTGCCTGTGAATGAGGGCCTTCTTGGAATGTGACTTTTAGTTCTAAAACAGGGAAAACTCTGGGACAAAGTAGGAGTTGGTTATCTTATCTTCAACCAACATTTACCTGCTATAAGCACACACAAATATACATAAGCACTCAAAGTCAGAGTCACTGACTTGCTCCTCTTATGTAAATGGCCCTGTTGATGATATGCATCATTTTTGGTGGAGAAGTGGAAATGGATTGGGAGGAAAAAGAACAGAAAGGGGGAAAAGTAATGACCCTTTCAATCATAGATATGGAGACTAGCAACAAGCCTATTTGCACTGCTTTAAGGTAAGATAATGATGAAAAATAATGGTTTCCATTGTAAAGCAATGACAGTGAGATGGAATTAAGCCCGAATTCCCTATGATATAGGAGAGTAAGGAAGAGAGGGAGATACCTAATTTGAGTACATAAGTAACTAATGATAATTAGTCAAAGTAGAAAATATGAGGAAAAAATGAGGAGCTTTGATTTAAATGTAAATGCCAGGGTTTCCTAGGGGCTACATAGAGAATGTGGAGTAGTATAGTGATGTTTTTAAGGACAAGAGTTGAACCTGATTGTCTGGATTTATATTCTATCTCCATCTACTATTAGCTCCATGATTTTGAGCAGGATTAACCTATTATACTTTAGTCATCTCATGCGTAAAATGGGCAGAAAAGTGGTGATCTGTTTAATAACAGAGGAACAGTTCCTAGTACACAATCATAGCTGCTCCTCATAGACTAGAGATGGGTATATGGGAATGGCTTTAATTAAATGGACTGAACTGGAGTTATAACAGCATGGACACTGAGAAAAGAAAAACCACAAGGAGCATATGAGCAAGTAGGTGGGGTATTAAAGAGTGTGCATACCCATATGTGTGTATGTGTTGCAGTAGTAACAGCCATAGTAGAAGTAGTGGTAGTAGTAGAAGGGAAGTTAGATTTACAAAGCTTAAGTTATGACTGTTAAGAAAATAACATGTTTATATCATGGTAGTGTAAGAGGTACTGATTCTATTTGTCTTGCTATAGTTTGGATTTTAAATTTTAAATGTCCCCCAAAGGTCTGTGTGCTATAGGTATGGTCCCCAGCCTTGAGCTACTGGGAGATGGTAAAGTCTCTTAAGAATTGGGGCTGCTTTGGGAGGTTTTTAGGTTTATAGCACACAATCTTCAAGGGGATAGTGGAGCCCATCCCTTTCTTTTCTTCCTCTTCCACTTTCTGTTCCTGAGGTGAGTGGTTTTGCTCTATTGCATGTTCCTTCCACGGTGTGCTGCCTCACCACAGGCCCAAAACAGCAGGGCCAATTGACTATGGACTAGACCCTTCAAAACTGTGAACCCAAGTGAATCTTCACTTTTAAGTTGATTGTCTCAGCTAACTGTCAGAGTGACAGAAAACTGACTAAAACATATCTTAATTAGCACGTGGAGTTTTTATCACTTAGACATTTCTTCGTATCAAACTTTACCACAACCTATTTTTTTAAAGCACTTTTTATCTGCTTATGAATTGCTATGAGTCAGTTATTTGGGCTGGATGTATCAGGACAATTCTTCTGCTGGTCTTTCCAAGCTCACTCATCTGGCTGCAGTTACCAAGTGATCATAGAGATAGACCTAGAACCTGTGGGTTGGAACCCTGAGAGCTGGAGAGATGTCAAAGCAAAATCATTTAAGACCTTCTAATTGGAAAAACTGAAGTGGAGGCATGGTTCGGTCACACAGAAACACAGAGCTGAAAGACTAGAGCAAAACAGAGATGGTAGCTGCGTGTTCACAGTTTAACTCTCCTTACAAGTAGAATGCACTGTGCTGGCTTAAAGGATCAAAAGGTACTTATGCGGTGATTGACGAGGAACTTGGTGTCAAACAATCGTGCCAGACCTGCTAATGCTCCTTTCTGCACTGTGAATGCTATTGGAGCCACCAAGTAACTCTGTTCCTCCCTTTTCCCACATAATAACCACAACCAGTAACTAAGCGCTAGAAGTTCACAATTTCAGTAAGGAGATGATGTATTTGCGATGTTTCTTCTGCTTACTACCATGATAACTACTCACATTTCTGTTTCTCCTCTACAACTCCCCTTTGCCATCCTATCCTGCTTTGGAGCTAGCTGATTATGGATGGAAGCCTCTACAAACTGTGACCTAAAGAAACCTTTCACTTTTAACTTTGGTTGTCAGGTATTTTGTCTCAGAAATGAGGAAAGCAACTAAGATACTACAGTATTGCCTCTGTCTTACTGTGTTGTTACAGGGATGTGAAGACAAATGTACATCTCTCTTCCTCATTCTCCTGCATCATAAGGAATACAGGCTTCACTCCATCTTGCTGTCTCTGCTTTACAACAGGAAACCATTTATCTTTACCTTAAAAAAGAGCAAATAGGCGTGTTACTGGTCTCCACATCTATGGTTGGGTGGGTCACCATTTTCTCCTTTTCTGTTATTTTTTTCTTTCCAATCCATTTCCACCTCTCTACCAAAAATGATATACATTGTGAATAGGGCTGCTTATTTAAGAGGTACAAGACAGTGACCATGTGTGATTATGAGTGCTCACATATATTTGTGTGTGCTTGTTAACGGGTAAATGTTGCTTACGGATAAGGTAACCAACTCCTACTTTGTCCCAGACTTTTCCCTGTTCTAGAATGAAAAGTCTTACATCCCAAGAAGGTTAAATGATTTCTTAGTTTTTTTAAAAGCCAAACCTCACTTGACCCTAAACTTTGTCTACAGTTTCAAGCTAGGGCCTTCAATTTTCAACTGTTCTCATTTTGGAGTTTGAATTGAATTAGAAATGCATTAAGGGTATATTGGACCAAACCTCTGGTGTCAGACTGCCTGAGATCAAACACTTACTTACTGGTTGTGAGACTGTGGTAAAATTATTAACCTTCTGCCTCAGTTTCTTCAAGTCTAAATTGGGATGAACAATGCTATCTATCTCATCTAATTTTATCTATTAAATCAGCTAATGAGTGTAAAACTCCTGAAGCAATGCTGAACACGTGATCAGCACTGAAAAAGACCTTTAGATATTATAATTGTTTTGTTGCTGTTTAGTTTTATATACTACATAAAACATGTTGGAAAAATGACAGATAGAAATATGCTCAAATATTTCCAGTCTTATAAAATACTTTTAGGTATACTGAGGAAAATTAAAGAAAAAAAATACTATATATAT